GCGTATCCAGTCACGTGACGAGGAAGTGCCGTTAACTGCGTTGCCCCGCTTCCCCGGCGCTCCTGGATGACGCAAGCCAGAAAGGGAAGGAGAGGGAGGGGAGACCGAAGTTCGGGTTCCACTTTTAGTCCGCGGTGAGTGGTCCGGCGCCAAGCCGAGAGGAAAGGTCCGATCCATTGAGAACTGGGAGCTGCTGACCTGGGTGTGGTGGAGCGGGGCTGGGACCTGCGGGCTGCTGGTCTGTGAGCCTGGCTTTAAAAACTTGGTCTCCGGGACTCATCTTCCCAAGAGATCTGAATGCAGTGTTAAAGTAACCGACTGTATTTTGTTCATCTCTGTGTGTCCAGCGGGATGTTCAGGGCCTGGAACATAGTAGGCACGCAGAATGTTGAGTGAATGGATGTATGAACGAGCCGACATGGGCTAAGTTGGCGAGTTGTTCTCTCATCACTATTTCTTGGATAGAAAGATCCCAGTATGAAAATGAGGAAATCTGCTCCTTCCCCTTCGCGTAATTTTAATTTTTGTTCCCTTGTCTCTTTAGTTTTTTCTTCCTTCCTCGCCCCTAGTAGGCAAAAGAGAACATATTTGCCTTTGAATTGTGAGCAGCAAGCAATGTGTACTATTTTACGTTAACGGAAAGATGATCAGATCTGGATTCAGGAGACGTGGATTCTAGTGTCTGCTCTACCTTTTATGAACTCTGTGACCCTGGGGCAAGCCAGTCTCCCAACGTTGTTTCATTTACTTTGGTAAGCATTTGTCGCCAACTTTTTTTTTTTTTTTTGAGTTGGAGTCTCACTCTGTCGCTCAGACCGCGGCCTCGATCTGCTGGCCTCCGGAGATCCTTCCGCCTCAGCCTTCCAGGTAGCTGGAACTACAGGCGTGCGCTACCACGCCCGGCTGATTTTTTGATTTATTGTAGAGATGCGGTCTTGCTGCCCAGGCGGGTCTCGAACCTGTGGGATCAGGCAATCCGCTCACCTCAGCCTCCCATAGGCGTGGGATTACAGGCTGAGCCACCGAGCCCGGCTGTAGCCAACTTCTATGTGCTTGGTTTTTGCTAGGCTGGCGCTGTGACAGTCTTCAATGAAGTTAACATTTAAATTCAGCTTTACAGAAAAATAAGGTTTTGTTAAGTGGGGGAACATTGAATAAACAGCATATATGAAACCACAGAGGCACAGCAAGTCTATAAAATGAAAGAGAGACAAAAGATGGTCCAATATAGTTGGAGAATAGGAGAGAAGGTAAAATGGGAGATAAGACTGGAAAAAGAAGTAAGTGTGAGGTCACAGATTATATAAGAAAGGAAGCTATTGGAGATTTGTACAGAGTTTTTGTTTGTTTATTTTTGAGACAGGGTCTCACTGTCACCAAGGCTGGAGTGCAGTGGCTCAATCCAAGCTCACTTCAGCCTTGACCTCTTGGGCTCAAGCAAACCTCCGACTTTAACTTCCACAGTAACTAGTACTACAGACACTTCTGTATGTTTTGCCACTAGAAAGTATACTTCATAAGGGTGAGGACTTTGTTACCTCCAGGACCTAGAACAATGTCTGGCACATAGGTGGTTCTTAGTACAAATTTGTTGAAAAAGAAAAATGTATTTCTGGGAAAAAAACAAACAAAAAAAACCCACAAAACAAAATAAACAAAAAACAAGTATAAACGGTTTTTTATGAATTTTTCTGTTGTATTTGCTTTCTAGTCTTAATTTGGCAGATAGCAAATGATTGCAAAAAATTAAAATTAGTGGGTAGAATTTTCTTAAGTTTTCTATTTTCCTGGAGATTGATACAATTTGACAAAAATGTACACTTGACAGTAGTTGAACATATAAAAACTTGTGGTACTTTACAAAGTCCTCACTAGGTATTTGGCATTTGCTGCCTTGTATTCTTATCCCTATTCATTCCTATCTTGCTCTTGTTGAAACTCTTATTCTTTGTGCTCTAATTCCCTGTACCTTACTCTTCACTTAGTAGTGTGTTCATTCATTCAGCATACTTATTGAGGCCCCACTAGGCTGGAGAGAGAGGTCCAGAGGCCTATTAAGCACTCAGTTGCTTGCTGATATAGTGTTAGCTGACAATTTGAGGCCTTTACAGAAGGCTTTTTTTTTTTGAGTTGGAGTCTCACTCTGTCACCCAGACTGGAATGCGGTGGCATGCTCCCAGCCACCACAGCCTTGACCTGCTGGGCTCCAACGATCCTTCCACCTCAGCCTTCTAAGTAGCCAGAACTACAGGCACACACTACCATGCCCAGCTAATTTTTTGATTTATTGTAGAGATGAGGTCTCGCCAAGTTGCCCAGGTGGGTCTCAAACCTGTGGGCTCAGGCAATCCACTCACCTCAGCCTCCCAAAGCACTGGGATTGCAAGTTGAGCCACCGAGCCTGGCTGAAGATTGCATTTTAATGAGATTCTTAAAGACAGAAGAAGATTGACTACTCAAATAAATGAGTGGCAGGGTTGCTATTTTTCTTCACGGGAGCTAGGTCAGTTTTCCTTTTAAGTCCTACTGTGTCTATGCTACCTATTCACACTGTTGGATAATACGGTGGGATAGGATTATGAAGGATCTTGAGAATCCAGACCTGACACTCTGGGAGTTTTAGAGTCAGGGAATGACACAGTATAAGCACACTGTGGCACACCATGTTACCTGTATGTTTTCTTTCTAAATGCCTGTAGAGCAGGGGTCATGGTCCCTTTCTCATGCTACCCTATCTTCCCCACTTAATCATTAAATGCATGCTGAATTTATGGTTTCTTAAATTACATTTTTGTGGGTTTCAGGAAAGGAATACTGTGCCTGTCACCCAACAAGTTTCAACTTTCTGACTAGATGACTTTTGTGCCAGTGATACCAGAGCCCTACAGCCATGTTCTCGCAGAGTTTGAGTCTCTGGAACCATTACTCTCAGCCCTGCGGCTGGACTCCAGTCGTCTAAAGGTGAATATCTTGATCCTTCTATCAGTTTTATTTTCATAGCCATATTTTTATGTGTTCTCTGTTACATGTTCCCCTGCCCTCTAGTTCCTTAGGTTTTGTGGAGTCTTAGGTGTTCTTTCTTGTCCTAGTCATATTTTTATAGGAAAAAAAAAGAAAAGAAAAACTTTTTATCAGAGGAATATATGCCCCTTTAAATAATCAGACCCAGAGAAACATTGTAATGAAACAGCAGTCATGTCATTCCCTTTAAGCTAAATACTTCTTGAAGCCACCTGCTGTGTAGTCACTAGACTGATACCCAGTAACCATAAAATGCCATACACCTTGTAGTTCAACAATGTATGGCCAGTTGCTTACCAATGCTGTTATTTCTATAAACCAATGAGAATTCCTAACAAACAGTTCTGTAATCACCCTTGCTCCTGAAAACTTGAGTCTCTTTTGTTCTTTGGAGCACTCCCCAAGACTACTGGAAGTGTGTCCTGGGCAGTCCTCAACCTTGACCCGAATAAGCTCTCTGTGTTAATTTTGCCTAACTTCTTCCTTTTAGAGACACCTTACATAGAAGTAGCATTTTCTTTTTCTTTTATTGTTTTTTTGAGTTTGAGTCTCACTCTGTCCCCCAGGCTGGAGTGCAGTGGCATGCTTGTGGCCACTGCAGCCTCAACCTGCTGGGCTCAGGCAGTCCCACCTCAACCTTCCAAGTAGCTGGAACCACAGTCGCGCACCACCACACCCGGCTAATAGTTCTTGATTTATTGTAGAGATGAGGCCTCGCCAAGTTTCCCAGGCTGGTCTTGAACTCGTGGGCTCAGGCAGTCCACTCACCTTGACCTCCCAAAGTGCTGGGATTATAGGTGTGAGTCACTGCACCCAGCCTAGAAGTAGCATTTTCATAGCTCTTTCTGGATTCATGTCTTGAGCTATCTTTGAAATTCTTTACCACCTTGGAAACCATAATAGTGATTTTTTTGGGGAGGGGTGGCGTTGGAGTCTCATTCTGTTGCCCAGATTAGAGTGCAGTGGCACACTCATGGCCACCATAGCTTCGCCCTGCTGGGTTCCAGTAATCCTTCTGCCTCAGCCTTCCAAGTAGCCAGAACTACAGGTGCATGCTACCACACCTGGCTAATTTTTGACTTATTGTAGAGACGAGTTCCTTGGACTGCTCTCGAACTCGTGGCCTCAGGCAATCCACTCACCTCGGCCTCCCAAAGTGCTGGCATTATAGGCTGAACCACCAAGCCCGGCCCATAATAGTGATTATTTAATTTTTTCCTCCTCAGTAATCTTGCTGTATCTCAGAAAGTAATGCATTTCTTTGAAAATAAAATTGTATGAATTAATATACCCTACAGAAACCAATAAAAAAACTTTCCACCCGGGCTCGGTGGCTCAGCCTATAATCCCAGTGCTTTGGGAGGCTGAAGTGAGTGGATTGCCTGAGCCCGTGGGTTCGAGACCCACCTGGCCAACTTGGCAAGCCCTCATCTCTGCAATAAATTAAAAAAAAAAAAAAATCAGCCGGGTGTGGTAGCACGTGCCCGTAATTCTGGCTACTCGGAAGGCTGAGGCAGAAGCACTGCTGGAGCCCAGCAGGTCGAGGCTGCGGTGGTTGGGAGCGGCCACTGCACTCCAGCCATGACAGAGTGAGACTCTAACTAAAAAAAAACAAAAGAAAACAAAACAAAAAACTTCCCCTTCTCTCTCTGAAGGTTTGCTAATGAAAGTCATATTAATAGGGGAAAAAGTATACAAAATTTTATTGTAACATGCATAGCACTGGGCATTTGCAAGAGGATGATTACACAGGAAGTGAATTCAAAAGCTCATATACCCTTTTTTACAGGAAGCTGGAGAGATGGGAATGTAGACAATCTTTTGAACAGTAAATCATTAGGAAGAATGAATGGACTGAGCACGTGGGAGGCAGACATGGGAAGGTGGGGGATGGCGCTGTACAGGAACAATCTGTCTTATGCAGGTAAAAACCTCTTGGAGCTACCTGCAGAAGAATAAATGAAAAGTCCGTCTGAGCTTGGTGATGACGTTCAGTCTCTTCTCTGGTGGTTGATCTTCCCTGGATGTTTGATGAGAGCCTCAAGGAAGGGGTTTCAGACAATTGCATTTCTTTTGGAAAGAAGCTTTCTTGTTCAGATAAGGACATTCCAGAGAGAGTCCCTCCAAGGGAGGAGGTAGAAACAAGACAAGGCTGGAGTGTCCTTGATTTTGAAGCAGTTTCTAAGGCTTCTCAGCATGTCAAAACACAATATTTTGGGATATCAGTTTGGGAGCCCCAGTAACTGCATTACATTTTGAATAACATGAACCACTAGAGTTATATATGTGGAGCTCATCCCAAACAGAGAATCTGAAATGACTCTTGTTTTAGGGAGCAAAACAAAAGTTAGCTCTGTGAGAAGAATGTTGAAAGAAAAGCTGAGGCAAAATTATTATAAGTAGAGAATTTATTTGGGCTAAACTGGGAGATTACAAGCATAGATTCAAGTTGCTCTGAATGTATGCTTTGATTAGCAGCAGTTACAAGTAGATTTTTTGGGGAGGATGGGGTCTTACAATGTTGCCAAGGCTGGAGTGCAGTAGCTATTCACAGGCATGATCATTGCTAACTCATAGCACATTGCAGTGCACTGCAGCCTTGAATTACTGGCCTCAAGTGATCCTACCGCCTCAGCCTTCTGAGTAGCTGGGACTGCTGGCACGTACTACTGTGCCTAGCTTACAAGTACATTTTTACAGGAAAAGAAGAGGCAGTTCCTGAGTTGTTTACCAAACACTTATATTGAAATAACATAAACTATTGATTGGCTATACATTGTCCTTTGTTTCACAAGTTCCAGAAACATGAAGATAGTGGGTGAGGAGACTAGTCAGGAACAGAATGACTTCAAACACTTGCTCCCAGGCATGGGTGCAGGAGACAGGGGAAGGACTGAGTCCCATACTCATGTCTCTCTGGGTCTGCATACTTCACATAGTTTAGACTGTTCTGAACTATTTTTCTTTTCTCAAGAACTATGTATTTTGATTGTCTTGGAATTCAAAGAACTATGTGCTTCCCTCAAGCCCTCAGGTCTTTTGCTTAAACTCAGAGATGACATGGTGAAAAAAAAAGTTTCATAACTAATTCCAAAATAATTTCATTCTTACACTTTTGCTACCACTCCAAAGCACCGTTCTAGCCTCTGAGGAAAGAGAAAATAAGAAGTGATAGACAAAGTAATAGCAACAATTGTGAGGGTTGATATCAGTTAGAAATTTTTTCAGCTGCAAGTTGCAGTACCGTGTAACTTACTAATAGGGGCTTAAGCAATAAAGATGGTTATAATCTCATTAGAGGTTAATGTTTCCAGGTTTAGTGTACTGACCCAATGATCTAAGTGGACACAGTCTCTCCCATCTTTTCTGTTCTGCCATATGTTGGCCTTTAGTCACATTTGCATTATGTGTCCTGTTCTCATTAGTATCTTTTTTTTTTTGGAGTCAGAGTCTCACTGTCACCCAGGCTGTAGTGCAATGGCAAGCTCGTGGCCACCGCAACCTCAACCTACTGAGCTCAGGCAATCCTTCCACCTCAGCCTTCCAAGCAGCTAGAACTAAAGTTGTGTGCCATGCACCTGGCTAATTTTTTGATTTATTGTAGAGACGAGGTCTCACCAAGTTACCCAGGCTGGTCTCGAACCCCTAGACTCAGGCAGTCCTCTTGTCTCCACCTCCCAAAGTGCTGGGATTATAGGTGTGAGCCACCGCACCCAGCCCATTGTTAGTATCTTAAGCAAGAAAGTGGGGGCCAAGAGCAAAGACTTTCTTTTCTTTGGGCTCTGCCTTTTACCTGGGAAGGAAAAGTTTCCCAAGATGCCCTCAGCAGGCTTAGTCTTATTAGCTGGAATTGAGCTACATAGCTACTCCTGGCAGCAAGAGAAACTGGGAAGGTGAATATGTAGGTTTTCTAACTTCTCTGGTGAAAAGCAATAAATTCGAAGAGGATTAAGAATGTCTCTTACTCAGCTAACTAATAACTTTTGCCACAGGGTATAATTGGGCACAGCATGGCCGCTGCTTTCTCTGGTGTATAAGGAGGGAAATAAACAGACCAAGAGTGTGAAGACACATGATAGTTCAGTGACCTGTGTCTGTTCCGCCTGCAGTCTTACTTGCTCTAAGAGCTGTGGATGTTTTGTGATAATTATACAGACTAGAAATGATTTAAATGAGCAAATGATTAAAGTGGTTGCTTTACTTCCTGGTGATTACTTGGTCCTTTTGTTGCAGTCAGCACTGGAATGACCTAGCCGCAAAAACTGGCTTTTACCAAGGGAAAATTATTATTTTATACAGTGGAGCATATTCAGCTTTTTTGAGATTCAATTCATGTTTAAAAACAAAATGTTCTTTCTTTGGGATTTTTCACTATCCTGGTATTAGAGAGTAAGTGTCATTATGTCACGTCCATTTGAGCAGAAGGTGGAGAGGAACCTGACACACAGATCCTCAGTATTTCTTTCCAGTGGTTAGTTTGTTTGGTTATTAAGTAGCTGTGATTATCTCATACTTGTCTCTTCACTTGTTTTTAGTGCACGAGCATAGCTGTGTCTCGGAAGTGGTTGGCTTTGGGGAGTTCAGGAGGAGGACTCCATCTCATTCAGAAAGAAGGCTGGAAGCACAGGCTTTTTCTTTCACACAGGGTAAGATTAAAGGCAGCCCTGTCCTACACTGTTTGGAGTCTCATAACTGGGAATTTCTCCAATATAACTAATAATTTATAATTAAAGGAAGAATGTAAAACTTGAGAGTTAAAAATATTTTCCTTTTGTGCTCTAGGATGGTGCAATTTCTCAGGTTGCCTGTTGTTTACACGATGATGATTATGTTGCTGTAGCTACCAGGTGAGAATCTGTTTTAAAACTATCTATTCTTTTCCACATACATTTTTTTTTTTTTTTTTTTTTTTGAGTTGGAGTCTCACTCTGTCGTCCAGACTGGAGTGCAGTGGCCGCTCCCGGCCACTACAGCCTCAACATGCTGGGCTCTGGCGATTCTTCCGCCTCAGCCTTCCAAGTAGCTGAAACTACAGGTGTGCACTACCATGCCTGGCTAATTTTTTTGATTTATTGTAGAGATGAGGTCTTGCCAAGTTTCCCAGGTGGGTCTCGAACCTGCGGGCTCAGGCAGTTCACTCACCTCAGCCTCCCAAAACGCGGGATTACAGGCTGAGCCACCGAGCCTGGCTCTCCACATACATTTTAATTGATAAGGGTGTTTGCTAGGGTGACCAGCCATCCTGATTTGCCTATGACTATTCCTATTTTGTTTTGTTTTTTTGAGTTGGAGTCTCACTCTGTTGTTCAGGCTGTAATGCAGTGGCATGCTCACAGTCACCGCACCCTCGACCTACCGGGCTCAGGTGATCCTTCTGCCTCAGCCTTCCTAGTAGCTGGAACAACAGGTGTGTGCCATCATATCTGGCTAATTTTTTGATTTATTATTTTTTTGATTTTTTATTATTATTATTATTATTATTATTATTATTTGAGTTGGAGTCTCATTCTGGCACCCAGACTGGAGTGCAGTGGCCGCTCCTGGCCACCGGAGCCTCAACCTGCTGGGCTCCGGCCATCCTTCTGCCTCAGTCTTCCAAGTAGCTGGAACTACAGGCACGTGCTACCATGGTTAATTTTTTTATTTACTGTAGAGATGAGGTCTCGCCAAGTTGCACAGGCGGATCTTGAACCCACAGGCAATCCACTCACATCAGCCTCCCAAAGCATGGGATTACAGGCTGAGCCACCGCGCCCGGCTTAATTTTTTGATTTATTGTAGAGACGAGGTCTCACCAAGTTGTCCAGCCTGGTCTCGAACCCCTGGGCTCAGGCAGTCCTCTCACCACTGCCTCCCAAAGTGCTGGGATTACAGGTGTGAGCCACTGTGCTCAACCTACTGTCCCTGTTTTAACACGGAAACTCCCATGTCCCAGGTAATTTCTCAGTACCCAGCAAACTTGGATGCACAGTGGTTACTCTAGGATTTTGAAGAATACTAATTTGAGGCAACAACATTTCAGAGACTTTAAAGGATAAAAGAAACAGGGATAATTTAGAACATTTAACTTCTCTTATTGTACTGGTTTGATGACTAAAAACAAAGAAATTAATACCTTAACTTTTTACTTCCTTTTATCTGAAGAACAAGAGTTTGCATATGTATTTTATATCATTGATACTGCGGTACTGTTAAATTTTACCTTTTTCACCATTGCCAAAAATTTACTTCTGTAACTCCATTTTTGCAGTCAAGGCCTTGTAGTTGTTTGGGAATTAAATCAAGAGCGTCGCGGGAAACCAGAACAAATTTATGTGTCTTCAGAACACAAAGGCCGAAAAGTTACAGCTCTCTGTTGGGATACAGCTATTCTTAGAGTTTTCATAGGTGATCATGTGGGGAAAGTTTCTGCTATCAAACTCAACACTTCAAAACAAGCAAAGGTGAGGACCAGTTCGGTTCTTATGTATATGGTGAGATACAAGGTCTTGTTTTACAGAACTTTCAATTAAAGGATGTGATATTTATTTACGGTATTTCTTGGGAGACTGATTGAGAGCCCAGATTGGAGATATTTTAGGAGACTTGTTTGTATGTAATATTTATGGTAGCCTGTTTTGGCTTGATACTGTTGCAGAACAGCTCCTGTGAGTTAACTTCAAGAATTTGCACATTGTCTTTTGAACTCTCCCTAATTCATCTGCATAGTTCAGTTAAATAAAGCATTCTTTAACACAAGAGTATTTAGAAAGTGAAGACATATATTTATTAATTTTGTGAATATAATAGCAAACATAGGCATGGCACCAATTGCCTAGGCTCCTATTCTTTTCCTGGTCCCTGCATAAAAGACACTCATGGTTCTAGGAATATTTTCTGTCAGAATGGATATAACTTTACTATGGATATAATCTTTTGGGTTTTTTTTTTTTTTTTTGAGTTGGAGTCTTACTCTGTCCCCCAGACTGGAGTGCAGTGGCATGCTCACGGCCACTGCAGCCTTGACCTGTTGGACTTAGGTGTTCCTTCCACCTCAGCCTTCCAAATAGCTGGAACTGCAAGCATGTGCCTGACTGATTTTTTTATCTATTGTAGAGACGAAGTCTCGCCATGTTGCTCAGGCTGGTCATGAACCCCTGAGCTCAGGTAATCCTCTTGCCTCAGCCTCCCAAAGTGCTAGGATTATAGGCGTGAACCACCGCTCCCAGCTGGATGGAATCTTAAAGGCACCTCCTGACTTGTGTGTGTAGCTCCTCAAGCTTCCTGCCACAGTGATTGCTGGAGTAGAAGTGCTGAGGCTTAGGTTACCCTGGCAGAATGCTCCAGTCTGCCACTGAGACATAACAGACCAGCTTCTCACTGTCCCACCCCTCCAAGGCCATTATATCAGAACCAGGAAATTTGTTTCTCATAGGCTTATTTCTGTACAGGATTCTGAAGAAGAGATCTAACTACTGTTGGCTAAATTACTTTATTTTAATGAACACATCAGAATATCCTTCCATTTTGGCCATCATGACTCATTAGAGTTATCATTTGATTCCTAATATAGTTTTGATCTAAAATACAATTGAAATCCTATACATAGTTTAATTTGTCCTTTTTTTGCAAGGGGGGAAATACTATCTACAGGTGAAAAATTCTGTCACATATTCAAAACTTTATTTAGAGAAAGGGTCTTGCTCTGTCCCCCAGGCTGTAATGCAGTGGTGTAATTGTAGCTCCCTGCAGCCTTGAGTTCTTGGCTCAAGCAATCTCTTACCTTAGCCTCGTGAGTAACAGACTGCAGGCACATGCCACTCTGCCCAACTAGCATATTCTAAAACTTGCTTCATCTTTTTCATTCCAATCTCTAAGACTAGATCATCACAAACAGAGTCTTAAAAATCTCTTCTGCAGTTATATACCAAATTGTTTCAAAAACTTTTAAGTGAGTGTAACTTTTGATGTTCTTACAAGCAGATTAAATTTTGGCCTATTTAAAATTTTTAATTTTAATTTTTCTATCCAACTTACTTACATTCAAAAGGTAAAGAGGAAGAGATTATTTGTATGTGTTATGATGAAATAAACCTTACTTCTTTCTCACATCCCTTTTAGGCAGCTGCTGCTTTTGTGATGTTTCCTGTTCAGACAATAACCACAGTTGACTCCTGTGTTGTCCAGTTAGATTATCTGGATGGAAGACTACTTATATCTTCACTTACTCGATCCTTCTTGTGTGACACTGAGAGGTATATTAACCAACCACAAGTCATCAGAAAGACAGAATTTTAGAACTGGAAGAAACTTAGACGTTGCTTAGCCCAAACCCTTCAGTCAATTATACAGATATGAATAAGGAACCAGTTGTATGCAAGCTGATATTAGAGAGTATAGAGGAGGTAGAGAAGACTGAGACAGTCCAGTGGGTATCTAAGACAAGTGTTTAATGAGTCCCCTACCATGACGCATGATCTAAGTGCCATCAGAAAAGGCCAAGTCCTGTTTCCATGTGGGGAATCAGGAAGGCTTTCTTGACTGAGTTTTGTTGTTGTTTTTCAGATTTGTATTTTTATTATTTTATTTATTTATTTATATTTTTTTGAGTCACAGTCTCATGCTCTTGTCCAGGCAGGAATGCAGGGGAACACTCTCGGCCACTGCAGACTTGACCTGCTGAGCTCAGGTTATCCTTCCACCTCAGCTTTCCAAGTAACCAGAACTCAGGCACGCGTTACCGTGCCTGGCTAATTTTTTGACTTATTGTAGAGACGAGGTCTTGCCAAGTTGCCCAGACCGGTGTCAAACCCATGGGTTCAGGCAATCTTTTCACCTCAGCCTCCCAAAATCCTGGGATTATAGTCACAGACCACTGTGCCCGGCCTTGTATTTTTATTTTTAAAAATTTTTCAAGACTGGGCACGGTGGCTCAAGTCTGTAATCCCATCATTTTGGGAGGCTGAGGCGAGAGGATTGCCTGAGCCCAGGGGTTTGAGACCAGCTTGGCCAACTTGGTGAGATCTCGTCTCTAAAGTAAATCAAAAAATTAGCCGGGCATGGTAGTGTATGCCTGTAGTTCTGGCTACTTGAAAGGCTGAAGTGGAAGGATTGCCTGAGCCTCGCAGGTTGACACTGGGGTGGCTGTGAGTATGCCACTGCACTCTAGCCTGAGTGACGAAATGAGACTCCCACTCAAAAAAAAAAAAAAAAAAAATTTAAAATTTTTTTGAGATGGGGGTTACTCTGGAATGCAGTGTCACAATCACAGCTCACCACAGCCTTGACTCCTGGGCTCAGGTGATCTATCTGCCTCAGCTTCCTGAGTACTGGAACTACAGGCTCATGCCCCCACATCCAGCTAATTTTTTTATTTTTATTTTTTTGAGTCGAGTCTCACTCTGTCACCCAGGCTGGAGTACAGTGGCACGCTCATGGCCACCACAACCTTGACCTTCTGGGCTCAGGCAATCCTTCTGCCTCAGCCTTCCCAGAAATTGAAACCACAGGCGCATGCCACCTTTGGTAAGATTAATGAGTATAGAAATGATGATGAGTTGACTGCATTTTTTTACTCAGCAAACTTTATTGTACTCCTCTGGATTCTTAGCACAATATTAAGCACCATAGAAGATATAAAGGAAGCAAGAAACATATTTTATTTCTGACATAAGGAATATGTTTCATAAAACCATAACTTCTTGTATTGCTCCATGTACATTTCAAAGCACTTTTTTTTTGAGTTGGAGTCTCGTTCTGTTGCCCAGACTGGAGTGCAGTGGCCGCTCCTGGCCACCGCACCCTCAACCTGCTGGGGCTCCAGCGATCCTTCCGCCTCAGCCTTCCAAGTAGCTGAAACTACAGGCGCACGCTACCACACCCGGCTAATTTTTGATTTTATGTAGAGATGAGGTCTCGCCAAGTTGCCCAGGTGGGTCTCGAACCGGCGGGCTCAGGCAGTCCACTCACCTCAGCCTCCCAAAGTGCTGAGATTACAAGCTGAGCCACCAAGCCCGGCTTCAAAGCACTTTTTCCATGTTCTTGAAGTAAAGGAGATGGCATATTTTATTCACAAAGCAAATAAGTACAGAAATAATAATTGAATTATCTGAGGTCATTTAGTCAATTCATGCTAGAGAGCCTATTAGATTATTCTCCAATAAAAGAGATTAAGTTAGAGTTTATGGAGCACAACAATGCTTTCTGTGGGCCAGACACTGCTATACATGGGGGGGGGGGTTCAACTAAACAATAAGAAATGGCCTTTATCTTGAAACGTCATAATCTCCTGTTCAAATAGATAAAATTGCCGTATATAATGTTATAAATGCTTTGAAAGCATGGTATAAGAATCATGTAATTCTGTATAGGGGAGTCAAGAAAGTTTCTCAGATGTAGAATGAGGGAGCTAAGCCATGAAGAATAAGTAAGTAACAGGAGTTTTTAGAAAGATATGTCTTCCTCATCATTGTCACCTGCCATGCTCCGTGTTAGTGTGCTAAGTTCTTTTATATATCTGACTCATGTAATGCTAAGGGATCATGATGTTTTGAGGAACATAGTTTCAGAAGGACCTGGTATTTTGAGAAAAGAGCGAGGAGTTTATTGGGTGTTTGTGGTATGGGAGTGGCTTAGAGACAGGGTTGGAGAGTAGTTTAGTAGCTTCCATGGGATGTCCAAAGATATACAAAGTAATTTTAGAAGCAATCAGGAACCAGGGATGTATGAAATAGTTTGGTGGCACTCACTTTTTAGGTTTAAAAGGGGTGTTCACAATAATTCTAGCCCCTTAAGCTGTTGATAATAAACTGAGTACTAATGTGAAGTGGGTTGCTTTCTGCCACAGAAATAGCTAATGGGAAATCAGAGCTAGAACCCTATTTTGAGCTTTTCATTGTGTCATTCTTTTCAGTATATTGGTAATGTGAATAAAGGTGAAGACATCCTGGGTGAGGTTACTATGGCCAAGCTGATTTGTAGCGCTATTGTTTTTAGCTTTTTTGTGAGTAAACATGTTTCCTCTTCCTTTCTGGGTATTAGAGAAAAATTTTGGAAAATTGGAAACAAGGAAAGAGATGGAGAATATGGAGCCTGTTTCTTCCCTGGAAGATGTTCTGGGGGCCAGCAACCTCTGATTTATTGTGCTCGCCCTGGCTCCAGGATGTGGGAAGTAAACTTTGATGGAGAAGTTATAAGTACACATCAGTTCAAGAAACTCCTCTCAGGGCCACCTCTCCCTGTGATTACTCTGAGGTAATGATTTATATGGCTAAGTGGGATTGTTTGATGACCTTTATAGAGGAATTGAGTTAAAACATCTAATATTCTATGTACATTAAAGATTTTAATCATATCTTTTAAGAGGGAAGTTGAGTTTTTATGAAAAGATTCACAGAAACCAAAAAAAGTCTTTAATTAATTATCTTTCCAGTGATTAGGATGATTTGAATAAAGGCAGATGTAGTTATTCTCCTGAGTTTGTTTTGGAGGCAAAAATTTCCCTGTATTGGGAAAAATTGAATTTTATATTGTGAATAAATCCTTAACAGATATATTTACTTTCTAGATCAGAACCTCAGTATGATCATGCAGTTGGATCCTCCCAATCTTTGTCTTTCCCCAAACTTTTGCATCTTAGGTAAGTTTCTCCCTTTGATCCTGAAAACAAACAAACAAAAACAACAACAAAACGTAGTTTTTTCTCTTTATTTCTGGTTCAGAGGCAGTGTTTTTTTAATTTTATTTTTATTTATTTATTTTTTTGAGTTGGAGTCTCACTCTGTCTCCCAGACTGGAGTGCAGTGGCATGATTGCAGCCACTGCAGCCTTGACCTGCTGGGCTCCGGCGATCCTTCTACCTCAGCCTTCCAAGTAACTGAAACTACAGGCACATGCTACTATGCCCGGCTAATGTTTTTATTTATTGTAGATTAGGTCTCACCAAGTTGCCCAGGCTGGTCTTGAACCAACCCTGGGCTCAAGCAATCCTCTGGAGGCTTGGCCTCCCAAAGTGCTGGGATTTTAGGCTTGAGCTACTGCTCCCAGCCTCAATCTGTGTGTTTTGAACTCTATTTATTTCATTAATGAAAAGTTATTTCTAACATCCCTTAGGCTAGTTAATATGATCTAAAACATAGATTCAGAAAACGTTACTTAGTGGTTGCGGTAGAGTACACTGGAGTGTGAACTCCTGATTGGGCTCTTTCAAAGGGTAGTTAACCACTCTTAGAATGTGATTTTCAAGAAACAGTTGAAATGTTAATTAATGACCCCTCAGGGCAAGGATAAAAACTAATTTATCTATATGTTCCATTTCCTACATTGAATTCTAGGCCAGGTACGATGTCTCTTGCCTATAATCTCAGCACTTCGGTTGGCTAAAATAGGAGGATCTCTTGAGGCCAGGAGCTTGAGACCAGCCTGGGCAACATAGTGAGACCTTGTCTCTATAAAAAATACAAAAATTAGCTGGGCATGGCAATTCACTCCTGAAGTCCCAGTTAGCAAGGAGGCAGAGTCAAGAGGGTTGCTTGAACTCGGGAAGTCGAGGTTGCAGTGAGCCTTGATTGAGCCATGCACTCCAGTCTGGGCAACAGGGCAAGACTGTTTCAACAAAAAAAAAGTGAATGATAGACATTGTAACATTTTCAATAAATACATAATTCATCTTGAAAGTTACTGGAGCAAGGCAGCTCTTTCTTTGCCCATAATTAGATAAAGCGTATTAAAAACTCTTCCTCCTTTAGCATTTTTTCTTTGTGGCACACAGCTTATTACTTATTCATATACTTTTTATACATGCCTTACCCCTAAGCAGTAAGCTCCATGAGGGGATTGTGTCTGTTTTGTTCACTATTGTTTTTTCAATACTTGGCCTAGTACCTGGCGCATGATAGACACTTGATAAGTATTTGTTGATTGTGATGTGATATGTGGGATGTTGGGAAGTTCCTTACCCATGAGTGTGTTTTCTGATAGCTAGGCCACAACCACAGTGTACTTGGTTCTCCTGGAAGAGTTATTTATTTGAGTGTAGCTATTTAAAGCTCTTGTTATAGTTCCTGCCATGGTAGACAAACTATTTCATAATCTGGTTTTACCTACTCCTCAGCTTAAGCAATAATTAATGCCACTTTGAAACCTTTGCTGACTCCTCCAGTAGGCTTGATTAGATACTTGTTCCCATGTGTGTACTGTTGTTAATTAAACCTTATTCATTCCTTCACCATTGCCACTTTCTTATTGTATTCTGAATATCCAGCCTAGTATCAGAAAGTCAGCTCCTTTACTGTGGTCACAGTACTAGGCATAGAAAGCTCTTAAATGACAGTGAATTCAACCAAGATTTTTTTTTTTAGATATGGGGGCAACCTTTTCGAGTCCCCTCCCACTGTGGGAGCTTTACTGTCCTCTCAATAAATCCTGCTTTCGAAAGAAAGAAAGAAAGAAAGAAAGAAAGAAAGGAAGGAAGGAAGGAAGGAAGGAAGGAAGGAAGGAAGGAAGGGAAAGAAAGAAAGAAAGGAAGGAAGGAAGGAAGGAAGGAAGGAAGGAAGGAAGGAAGAAGGAAGAAAGAAAGAAAGAAAGGAAGGAAGGAAGGAAGGAAGGGTATATATAGATAGATAGAAGGGCTTCTTTTTGTTTCTATTTACTTTTTTCTCCATTTGTATATTGTGTCCTGTGGTACCTTTACTGTTGCAATTCTTAAATCCCAAGAGGGGGCATCCTTATATACTTTGTTTCCTTTTGAGTACATTGGTATCATTTTCCTAGACTTTTTAAACAATGCTGTTGTGCTGTCCTCATCTGTTTATTATCAGTGAAGGGATAAAGGGATGGGAGTATATAAATTACAAGTATCAACTCTTATCCAGGTTTCTTCCTCCCATTTAATCTAGATTGCTAAGAATTTTCCGTTTTATTTGTTTGTTTTTTGAGTCAAGAGTCTTGCTCTGTTGCCCAGGCTGGAGTGCAGTGGCACATTCACAACTCACCATGGCCTCGACCTCCTGGGCTCAGGCGATCCTCCTACCTCAGCCTTCTGAGTAGCTGGGACTACAGGCATCCTCCACCATGCCGAACTAAAATTTTCCAAGCTGAATATCAAGTTCAGTGTCAAAATTATGATCCTGTACCTCTTCACTCAGGGATTTTCTGGCTCCTTTGATTTTTCTCCTCTGGCTTTTGAAGGCCACCTTCCTTCTGACTATTTCTTCCATTTAGTAACAAAGATTACTCTGCTATAGGGACAGTGATCTGGTCTTTCATATTGACAAAATGTTTAATATTTGCATGAGAGCCCAATTCCTGTTAAATATCACTGTTAATTTCATAGCCACATGGAACTATTTTTAGTACTCTTGGGGATATAAAGAAAAATATATGGTTCCTGTTCTCAAGATTAAAGTTAGTTGGAGAGATTTCTTTCAAACTTTCTTTAAAACTGTAAAAGTTTATTTCTTTAAAACTTCAACAGCAATAAAAAGTAAGAGTAGTGACAGTGCAATGTCTGATTAAGTACTATATGACTGGGGTTGACAAGAGATAAGTTGAGTGCCAGAGGAGGAACAATTGCCGTGGGCTATGGGGGAGGATTTCAGAGGGAATGCTGGTACTTGAGAGCTGGCTAGAATGGGAACATTGTAATTTGGAGAATGTTCTGGCCAGGGATAAGAAGAGGAGATTACCCATGGTATATAAAAAATAGTAGCAGCCTTGAGAGAGTAAATAAGACTTGCAACATATACTCACTTATGTAGAAAGAAATGAGAAGAGATGGAGAGTACCAGAGGACTGGAGAAGAAGGTAGAGGACCAAGAAAATGCAGTGTCCCAGTGTCCAGGGAAGTGAGCTTCAAGGAAGAAACAGTCAGCAGGGTTGGTTTCTGCTTGAGGTTAAGAAAATGGGGGCCAGGCTCATTGGCTCAGCCTCTAATCCCAGCACTTTGTGAGGCTGAGGCAAGTGGATTACCTGAACCTACGGGTTCGAGACCAGCCCAGACAACTTGGCGAGACCTCATCTCTACAATAAATCAAAATATTAGCTGGGCTTGGTAGCACGCGCCTATAGTTCTGGCTAGTTGGAAGGCTGAGGCGGAAGGATCACCGGACTCCAGCAGGTCGATGCTGGGGTGGCCATGAGCATGCCACTGCACTCCAGCCTGGGCCAGAGTGAGACTCCAACTCAAAAAAAAAAAAAAAGAAAAAGAAAATGGGAAATGATGAAAGGTTATTGGGTTTACAGTTAGGGAATCTAACATTTTGAGAATTCAGTTAAGTGGAATAGTCAGAATTCCAGGTATTAGGAGGTGGGATAGTGAAGATAAATAAGGGAGGAAGTAAAGTTTGTGAGTTATACAGAAAAAAAGTCTAGGTTTTGGAGTTAACTATTCTTGGTATAAATAATGACTCTTCCGTACTCATGCCAAATGGCCTTGGGCATATTATTTCATCTCTCTAAGCCTTCTATTTTAAAAAATAAGGATAACACATCTATCTTGATGGGCTGCTACAAAGTTGGTTAATGTACATTGGGCCCTTAATAAAGTTCCTGGCATATAGTTGACCAGGAGTTCTCAACCTTTTGTTACCTATACACAATTAATGATTCCAAAGTTTTGCTGTTCCTAAAAGTGGCTCACTGGAGCTGTGATTGGCAGTAAGGTGTTTTGTTGTTGTTGTTTTTTGAATTGCAGTCTCATTCTGTCACCCAGACTGGAGTACAGTGGCATGCTCCCAGTCATTGCAGTCTCGACCTGCTGGGCTCCTGCTATCCTTCTACCTCAGCCTTCCAAGTAGCCAGAACTACAGGCACGCGCTACCATGCCCAGCTAATTTTTTTTTTTTTTTTTAATCGTGGAGACGAGGTCTTGCCAAGTTGCCCGGGCGGATCTCGAACACGTGGCCCCAGGCAGATCTACTTGCCTTGGCCTCCCAAAGTGCTGGAATTACAGGCTGAGCCACCAAGCTCAGCTGGCAGTAAGGTATTAGTCTTTGTTTTTTGTTGTTTTTGTTTTTGTTTTTATGAGTTGGAGTCTCATTCCATCACCCAGGCTGGATTGCAATGGCAAGCTCACAGCCACCCCAGCATCAACCTGTTGGGCTCCGGCGATCCTTCTACCTCAGTCTTCCAGGTAACCAGAACTACAGCCGCGTACTACCACGCCTGGCTAATATTTTGATTTAGTGTACAGATGAGGTCTCACCAAGTTACCCAGACTGTTCTTGAACCCATGGGCCCAGGCAGTCCCCTCACCTCGGCCTCCTAAAATGCTAAGATTACAGACTTGAGTTACTGTGCCCAGCCTAGTCTTTGTTTTAAATGTGCCTCTGTCAGACAAAGTATGGGAAGTTTAACTGCTTGAATAAACATCAGATAAGGCCCCTAAAATTTCCTTTCTTCAGATACCAGCCTTTTCTTTTTCTAGAAGATACATAGTGCGTGTGTCTGAATTTCCTCCCCAAAATTTATGCCTTTTTCTTTCTTTCTTTTTTTTTTTTTTTTAGTGGACTGTTGTTACAGACAGAAAAGAGGTGTTAGGACTTTTTAGCTGTATCACTGTTGTGGTTTTTTTTTTGTACAGTCTGATTTTAATAGCTAATGCAAGGATCTGAATGTAGGGAATACTGTAAACTTTCGTATCCTAGCAAACTCAAAATTCCTTGACTACTTATCTTGCAGTGAGCATTGTGTGCTGACTTGGACAGAAAGAGGAATTTATATTCTCATTCCTCAGAATGTTCAGGTTCTTCTTTGGAGTGAAGTAAAAGGTAATTATATTTTCCTTATGTAATTTTTAATCTCACGCTTATAAAAGACTTAGTTACTGTAGGAAGTTTCTCTTGCAGTGTTAAGAAGTTGAAAAATAAGATGGGGTAGCATTTCTTTTAAAGATTGGCCATGGATATTTCCCATCGTAAGTTACTTCCTAAACATACATTTGTGGATACAAATTCAGCTATTTAGTTTTCATGGGTAATTTTATTTTACTTGTTTTTTTGACATATAATAATTGTACATATTTATGGGGTATAGAGTGATGTTTCGATGCACATCATGTATAGTGATCAGATCAGGGTAGTTAGCATGTCCATCATCTATCATTTCTTTGTGTTGGGAACATTCAATATTCTTTCTTCTAGCTGTTTGAACATACACATTATTGTCAACTATAGTCATCCTACAATGTTATAGAGCAGTAGAACTTATTCCTCCTATCTAGCTGTAATTTTGTATCCTTTAGCAAATCTCACTCCCTATCTCCAACTCCCCCTACTCTTCCTAACCTCTAATAACCTCTGTTCTACTTTTTTACTTCTGTGAGATCAACTTTTTTTTAGCTTCCACATAGGAGTGAGGACATGTGGTGTTTAGCTTTCTGTTCCTGGTTTATTTCACTTAATGTTTTATAGTTTTCCTGGATGATTTTTTTTTTTTTTGAGTTGGAGTCTCACTCTGTCACCCAGACTGGAGTGCAGTGGCCGCTCCCAGCTACCACAGCCTTGACCTGCTGGACTCTGGTGATCCTTCCGCCTCAGCCTTCTGAGTAGCCGGAATTACAGGCGCGCGCTACCATGCCCGGCTAATTTTTTGATTTATTGTAGAGATGAGGTCTCGCCAAGTTGCCCAGGCGGGTCTCGAACCCGCAAGCTCAGGCAATCCACTCACCTCAGGCTCCCAAAGGCGCGGGATTACAGACTGAGCCACTGAGCCCAGCTGGGTGATTTTTTTTTAAATAAATATTTTTTATTTTAAAGTTGTGGGGTACAGTTAAGGATTAAGTATACAAATATTCATTGTGCAGGTACCCTTGTTGATGAGGTGTGCCCCCCTTTCCCCGACAGACATGACCACCGTTAATCCCACCTCCCTTCCCCTCCCTGTCCCCACCCCCATAGTTTCCCACCACTGTCAATCCTTTTCTTATAATGTTACAGTAGTTGTTCAAGGTCCACTTATGAGTGAGAACATGTGATGCTCAGATCTTTGTTTCTGTGAGAGATCACTCAGTATTATAAACTCTAATTCCATCCAGGTTGCTGTGAAATTCATGATTTTGTTCTTTTTTTATGGCTGTGTGATATTCCATTGTGTATATGTACCACATATTTTTAATCCAGTACTCTTTTGATGGACAGCATAGTTGGTTTCATGGGTGATTTTAAATGCAATTTTTATTAGCAACTACTGCTAAGAAACAAATGGGTTAATTTTTTCCCTCCATTTGTCCTGAATCTTTATCCCTGCTAGAAATCTTGCTTTGACTCCCATTTTGATTTTGCATAGTTTGGGGTTCAAAAAGTTATTATAGGAACAACACCTATCTCATGTGACTTAGAGAAAATTAATCTCTGTATCCTTTTGGTTGGAACCAGAAATGGCGAAAATCTTGTTTTTCTTTCTTTCTTCTTTCTTTCTCCATTGCTGCTTAGTAGAGAGTATATGTTGACTTTTGGGTCTTTCTTCTTCTTTTTTTTTTTGAGTTGGAGTCTCACTCCATTGCCCAGGCTGGAGTGCAGTGGCACGCACATGGCCACCCCAGCATTGACCTGCTAGGCTCCGGTGATCCTTCTGCCTCCACCATCCAAGTAGCCAGAACTACAGGTGCGTGCTACCACACCTGGCTAATTTTTTTTTATTATTGTAGAGATGAGGTCCTACCAAGTTCCCCGGGCTGGTCTCAAACCCGTGGGCTCAGGCAATCCACTTGCCTCAGCCTCCCAAAGTGCTGGGATTACAGGCTGAGCCACTGAACCCGGCCCTTTTGTTCTTTATCTTTTCAGGATAATGTCTAAAGTATGATTCTTCATTGAAATGCAGGTATAAAAATAGAGATGAAATTCAATCAAGCCAAACTCTACATAAGAAATGAATTTATTAGAATAAGTCCAGCCCTTGCAAGAATGTGAGGGGTATTTGGTTAACACCTGTGTGTTCACACCTGTGGTTTTTATAGATATTCAGGATGTGGCTGTCTGCAAGAATGAGTTGTTCTGTTTGCACCTAAATGGGAAAGTCTCACATCTCTCCCTGTTATCCGTGGAGCGTTGCATGGAACGCTTGCTAAGAAGAGGTCTATGGAACCTGGCTGCTCGCACATGCTGTCTTTTCCAAAATTCTATCATTGCCAGCAGGGTGAGTCAGGGCTTACCTAGACATGTTATGGGTCCTAGTTTGTATCCTAGTTTACAGAATTGTGGTACAAAGTTGCTTGACTTTATTAGTCCTTCTATATGACCTACAGGTACAGCAGTAAATCCACAGAGACAGCACAGTAGGTAGAGGATAAAAAAGAAGGTATATGTTCCATCAAAAAAAAAAAATCAAATTTACCCACAAATTTATTTGAATTTTAGAAGAATGTGTTTTTAAGGACAATAATTATGTGTATGGTAACTCTTAATTAAATTCTTAATTCCTGAGAGAATTTTCATTAAGTCTTTCACTAGCTTACTAAGCCTTTTTAAAAACCTTTGAAGTTTTATGTTCCATGTTAGACCTCTTTTAATATATTGGTCATTTGAATATAGATTTACTTACAAATAGTAAGCCATTCCATTGGGTTTTTACTTATCCTTTTATTAGGCAAGAAAAACTTTGACTGTAGACAAGTTAGAGCATTTGAAATCTCAGCTGGACCATGCAACCTGTAGTGATCTAATTTCTCAACTAGAAGAACTGATCTTAAAATTTGAACCTTTGGATTCAGCTTGCAGCAGTAGAAGAAGCTCCATTTCATCACATGTAAGTAATCTCACTTTTAAAAGGATTTTGTTGTCAAGGATGAGTTTTCAGCTTAGGAAGCATTCATTTACCTCTTGGATCCCAACACATGTCCTTTCCATGTCATTTTTTTGTTTGTTTGTTTGTTTGTTTGTTTGTTTTTAGAGGAGTCTGCTTTCTTTTAAATATTGGACAACTATATGAAGCCTCCATTTAGGTGTGTATTGGAGCCACATTTTGTTTTGTCATTGTTTGTCATTGTTTCTTGTTTCCAGATGTACCCCACATAGCCTCCAGCACAAGTTAGTTATGTTGCTCCCATTATGTGATTTCAGATGTGTCATGCTAATTCATATCTGAGTGTAGCTCAGGATTGTCTCATTTAATCCACATTCTCGCTGCAATGCTTTATGAAGACAAGCTAGAGAAATATGGCAGCTGATGCCAATAACACACACAAGTGACCTAGTTGCCAGGCCGCTAAACTTTGCTCACCAGTTTGTTCTAATAAGCCATAATTGTTGTTATTAACTTTCTACTTTAATGTTGGTATTTTTCTGAAAATGTTATATTGTGTTACAAAGGAAAATTTTGCCTTTTTTGGGAATTCTTTTCATTTTTAGGAAAGTTTCAGCATCTTGGACTCTGGCATTTATCGTATCATTAGTAGTAGAAGAGGTAGTCAGTCAGATGAAGACTCTTGCTCCCTCCACAGCCAAACCCTCTCAGAAGATGAGAGATTTAAAGAATTTACCTCACATCAGGAAGAGGACCTGCCAGATCAGTGTTGTGGCTCACACGGAAATGAAGGTGATGAATATGTCTGTTGTTGGTTGCTGACAAGAGCTGTCATTTTTCTGTGTGTTCTTGTTACCAGGGTTATTTTGTGCATAGAACTGTGACAAGGTGTTAATGATTTTTAGCACGTTGGTAGACTTTCCATCCAGACCCATAGATTTACTTGCCACTGGAAGAGTGGGTGTATATTTAGTATTTTTTTCCTCATGTTTGGGCTAACATCATGGCCTAATTTTGATCATACATCAGAATGCTGGAAAGGGTAAGAAAAGATAATTAACCAAAAAAGTGGGAAGATTTTATCCTGACTAACCAAATTATTTTCCATTAGGAATGAAAAATCACTACAGTTTTGGGGGTCATTGCCTTCCCTTTTCGATGTGCGAGTTATTCCGGTGACTGAACTGTTGAGAAGAGATTAATAGAGACTCTAAACTTCCTTTTTGACTTATGGGGACTCAGGGTTAGTAGGCAAATGAAGGTACCTTGCCTAAGTGTTTTTTTATGTGGCCCATCCTGTGCATCTTGTAAACCTGTAGTCCACTCATTTGTACCTGGATCAGCTGTGATTTCTGTATTGAATCCTTCATTTCTTTTGGTTTATTCATTTCAGAATTTCTTTAAAGATTACGAAAACTCCCATGTGATATGATTTTGTGTTTTTTTTCCCCATGATTCCATTCATTAGACAATGTTTCTCAAGCTCCCGTGATGTTTGACACAGATAAGAATGAAACTTTTCTTCCCTTCGGCATTCCATTATTTCGTTCTCCATCTCCTCTTGTGTCTCTTCAGGCTGTCAAAGAAAGGTAAGCCAATTAGTCTTGTCATTTAATTCCATCTCTGATTTTACTTCAGTTGTCACATTAGGTACTTTGTGCTGAGAACATTTTAAATGAAAAGAAGAGAATCTCTAAGTTATTTTTCATATAATCTGTCATAGAAGCTGTTCTCATTTCCATCTTGGGGAATTTAGCTTCCCTGTTTGTTTTAGTAGCAGGGTATTTGAATTGTTAGAGATATAGGTGCCCCCAACATCCACAGATCAAAAATTTAAAGATCTAGGTTTTTTACCCCTCATCCCTAATGGGAGTAGTTTCCATATGTCATTAGTCATTTCATAATCCTTTCTCAGTTTGAGCTTAGACTTGGAAGTCTTTTCAGAATTCTTTCTAACTACCTTGGGACCAGGATTGGCGTTTGCGTTTGAGAGAGGACTTTGTGCAGTTACTTAACTGCTTATCTGAGTCTTTCTGGATACAAATTTTGCTTGTTGAGAAGGATATATTGTGACTAGTTAGCAGCTGAATTTCACGAAGAAATTCTTTGTTATAACAATTCTCTGACCACAATGGGGCTGATGATCACGTGGCTTACTTTGTCCAAATTGACAGAAATATTACAGCCATAGCTGGAGTTAAAGACCTTTTCTTTAGCACTGAATTACTGGTTTCGCAGGGCAGTTTAGTAAATGAAGGAAATCACTGTATTGTAAGTTTTACATGGACTTTATGTGAAATATATAGTTGATTAGAGAAGTTGCTATAAACGGTCTTTATTAAGTCCAAATTTCTTTCCTAGAACTAATAGGAACAGAAAATTCAGTCACTGAATTTTTCATTCATGGCAGTGATACGATTATTTTCATGTTAGTTTTGGCATTTGACTTGCAGTGTCTCTAGTTTTGTACGTAAAACTACTGAGAAGATTGGCACTCTCCACACAAGCCCTGATCCGAAAGTGAGACCAGAGCCCAAGGGTGATGAGCAATCATGTGAAGAGGATGTGAGTTCAGTTACCTGCCCAGAAGAGGAAGACACTGAGTAAGCCCATGCATATAAGTATGGGAATTCTAGGGGAGCCAGCTGTCAGTCTGAAGACAGCCATAGACTATGTCCTGTTGGAGAAGGCACATATAGTTCTCTGTTCATTGAAGATGATTTGTGTAGCTCTTAAAAATTGTGATTTCCACTAAGTGTTGAAAAATTACATTTTGCTACCTAAAATTAAATTTAAAATTATATTAAATTAAAATTAAAAATTACTACATGTAGCAAATCTATTGAGACAGTTTTCATTTAGCACCTCTTCCACTTTTCCCCTGCACAACTCCCCTGCCTCCTCCATAATCTCTCCAAACTTCTGGGAGTATTAGATTAAGAGTAGGATGACTTAGGATCAAGACCTTATCCTGGCTCTGCTTGTGACTAGCATGTGACTTTGGGTAAGTGGCTAATGCCTTCTGACCTGAAAGATCCAGTCAGGATGTGTTATTACTCGTAAGTCAATAAAAGGACTATAAAATGAAGATAATGAAAAAGAAAAAAGGATTCTTTAGGTAATGAAGAAACTGTTGATCGAATAGTTGTCATTGATGTCCTGTCAGGTATCTTCATGAGCTATGCCGGTGACATAATCCTTACACAGTAGAGTTGTAGCAGAGCCCTGGGTCTAGCACAGTGAGAAGTAGCTTGTCTATTTGGTTTCAGCCTTATCTCACAGTTAGGGGATGTGGGCATTAGAGGCAAGTAAGTTCAGCACTTATCCACAAATTGAGGGACCCATGGGCTCAGTGGATCTGAGCAGTCAGATTGAATAAGAGGTATGTAATTCTCAGAATAACTTAGTGAATTCATATATTTATAGGAAAAAAGCTGGATTTTTGTTTTGTTTTGTTTTTTGAGTTGGAGTCTCACTCTGTCACCCAGACTGGAGTGCAGTGGCCGCTCCCAGCCACCGCAGACTCGACCTGCTGGGCTCCGGCGATCCTTCCACCTCAGCCTTCCAAGTAGCTGGAACTACAGGCGCGTGCTACCACGCCCGGCTAATTTTTTATTTATTGTAGAGATGAGGTCTCGCCAAGTTGCCTGGGCAGGTCTTGAACCCGCAGACTCAGGCAATCCACTCACCTCAGCCTCCCAAAGACTCGGGATTACAGGCTGAGTCACCGAGCCCGGCTGGATTTTTTTTTTGACATGGCATTTAAAAGCAGCCTTGGGTCTGACCTTAGCCATCTTTCCAGCCTCGTTTCCAACCACATCCTTCTAAGCTCTCTAAATTTCAGTCCTGTCAGAGAACTGAGTATGTACTCTGACATCTTACTACCTTTCTTCATGCTGTGTCTTCCACCTGTGATATCCTACCCTTTTTTGTAACACAGATACCACCTCCTCAGGAATGCTTCCCTTGATTGCCTAGTCAAAGTACTTATTTCTTCTCTGCTTTCATATCACATTGCTCTTTAAAGTGCTGCTCTTTAGTATTCAATTTGCTCTTCTTATATTATAGTTAATTGTTTGCATGCTTTTCTTTCTACTTATAGACTAGTCTGACTTGAGCTTACTTAACCTTGAGGCCATAGACCACTTTTTTATACTCATCTTTTTGTCTCATGTGACATGAAGTGTAAATACTTGGTACTTAGTAAGTGCTGAGAAATATTTGTCTAAGAAAGCTCTGATCTCCCTAATTCTTGTGACTATTATTGTTATGCTTCACACTTTTCTAGGGGGACAAAAGAAGTAACTAGTCAACCTCCAGAAGATGAAACGTTCCAAGAACTTAAAGTAGCAACAGTGCAAGCAATGTGAGTATGAATGAGAACATTTTATAGTGAATGAGAATGACCTGAGACCATCAGTGTGGCTCTGAGGCAGTCTAGGGTAGAGGTAGCCTCATTTGGAATTGAGATTCAAGAATTAGTAAAATACTACAAAGTTAATGTTCTCTTTTTGTTGTCTTGCTAAGATAATTGTTATTTAAAAAGTTGAAAAGTAAAATTTATTCCAGATGAGTATGTTGTATTTGTTAGGTTTATTTAGCATGAAATAATTAGTTTTTTAAAAATTATCTGTCTTATACAGGACCAAGCTACAGGACCCTCTGGTTTTATTTGAACCCAAGTCCCTGAGAATGGTTTTACAGGAGTGGCTTTCACAGTTAGAAAAAACATTTGCTGTGAAGGACTTTTCAGGAATTTCAGACACTGACAACTCATCTATGAATTTGAACCAGGATATGCTACTGCTTAGTGAGTCAAAAAAGGGAATATTAGATGAAGATAATGAAAAAAGGGAGTCTTTAGGCAATGAAGAAACTGTTGATCAACCAGCATGTGAATCTGTAAGTAGTCTGAGGGAGCCCTTGGATGATGTTTTTCAAGTATGTTCTGCATGCACCATAGCAAATGGTCTTCAGAAAGAGCTGGCTGAATTGACAACATTGTGTTTGGAATTGAATGTCTTGGATTCTAAGATCAAGAGCACAAGTGAACATGTGGACCACACTTTGCAACAATGTTCTCCTGAGACTCTGGCTTGTCTGTTTCTAAAGAAGTACTTTTTTCTCCTGGACTTGAAAAGAGCAAAGGAGAGTATCAAGCTTAGTTACATTAACTGCCCTTCTGTTTGGAATACTTTTGTTGAAGGTTTGAAAGGTAATTAACAGATTCCCTTATCAAAGAGAAATTGGTATAGAGGGAAGTAGAATTTTGGAATTTTGGGCTTTAAAAAAAGATTTAAGTAGAAAATCACTCCTGTTCTTGTCAGTCGTCCATTCTATTTTGCACTCATTTTACTTTTCAATAATTCTTTAAACGCTGGTTTAATTTGTAATTGTATTATAAGAACTTAGTTTTATTTCTGTCAATCACATTCAGAAAATGATATAGCAATGAATAAGTTGAGAATAAAGTAAAATGTTTATAAATGCAGATATAGAAAAATAAGAAAGAAAATCCCTCATATAACTACTAATATAGAAATATACTGTATACTCATATATTGAATACTTGCTCTGTGCCAGATATTATAGTACACACTTTTCAGCATTGTCTTTGTCTTATCCTTATAACAATCTCATGTAAATGGTGCTATTCAATTTTATAGATGTGGAAATGGAGGCACAGAGAGATGGTATTAGTTGTGTAGGTTAAACTGTTGTAACAAGTATCTCATAATGTAATAACTTAGATATAATAAGTTTGTTTCTTGCTCATGTAACAGTCCAGGGGAGGTGTTCCAGGTCAATGGGCAGCTCTCTTCCATGTGGTAATTCAGCATCCCAAGTTGCTTTCATTATTTTAAGCTCCAGCTTCCCTTGGGTTGCTATGTCCAGGGGAGAGCATGTAGAATGTGCTTTTACAGGCCTGCCTGGTATGGCTTACATATCTTCTTTTTACATTCCATTGGTGAGAATTCTATCACATGGCCCTAACTAACTGCAAAAGAAGAAACCTGGATGTCACCTATCCAGGTGTCCAGGAGAAAGATAACAAATATGGGTGAAGAGCTTGCATATCTGCTTAAGAGACTTTGGTGCATAGACTTGGCTGCAGGTCACACTATTTGTGATCCTGATATAGAACCAACTCTCATACCCTAAAGACCATGCATTGCCCTTTCTAGAACCATAGTCCTATGCTTTTGAAGAGGTAAATTTTCTTAATTCAGAATTTTGCTTGAATAATAGATGCCATGTTTCTAATAATTGATTTAGACTTTAAGCAAACTTTCCATTAATTATCAAAAGTGAATAGTGACAGATACACAATTTTTTAAGCCTTTTCATTCTAGGCTAGAGATACATTTTTACATTATCTGAGTTAAATATCTTTTAGCTTTCTAGGAAAATTGATCTATGGTTACAGATCTGCTTTAATTGACATATAGCAGGTAAAAGCATAAGAGATTATTTTAGTTTTTTTCTGAATTAAGATAGATTATTTTTAATGTGAAATAAGAAACAAGTTATTTCTCTTTAAAGAGGTTCAAATGTGTGACATTATTACTTATTGGAAATTTTCTATATCGTTCTCTATTATATGATCATACCCAGCACTGGTCACAGAATCTCCATCAGCTATAGTGGTGGTTGTTACTACCAGTGCTGACTAGAGGAAGCATGGTGGGCAATTTAAGAAGATAGAGCTGCTTACTTGAATCTAGGTGGATAAGTCTAGCTTAGTTCCCACCCAGTCATAAGGCTTTTCCAGACTTCTCCAGCTCTAAATGATTACCTTCTTCTCTAAATTTCTTTGATAAAGTACTTACTGCCTAACAATCAAATGGGAAACAATGAGACTGACTGGGGGGGAAAACTGCCTTTTAAACATATCAGAAATTGGAGATTAGCTTTTTAGAATCTGTTGACTGGGCCTCATCCTTCTAGTGATGTTATAATTACAGAAAACAGCTTTTGGAGACTTATACTGTGTAATCCCAGAACTTTGGGAGGTGGAGGTGGGAGGATTGCCTATGCCCAGAGGTTTGAGACCAGCCTGGGCAACTTGGCAAGAACTCATCTCTACAATAAATAAAAAAATAAGCTGGGTGTGGTGGTGTGCACCTGTAGTTCCAGCTACTTAGAAGGATGAGGTGGAAAAAATCGCCTGAGCCCAGTAGGTCAAGGCCGCAGTAGCTGTGAGTGTGCCACTGCCCTCCAGTCCAGGTGGCAGAGTGAGATTCCAATTTAGAAAGAAAAAAAAAAAGCTTTCAATATGCCTTGCCTCCCAATTTGAATTTAAGGTTCTTAAAAATAGAGATTGCATCTTGTTCTTTGGTTTGTCTCTCATACAATGCTTAGCAAATATTAGACCTTGCACATAGTAGGTGTACACAGTAGATATGTGGCTAATGATTATTGAATGAATGTGTTCATGAATTACAACTTAGAGATAAAGGTAAAAGGATGTGCTTTGTATTTCAGAGATGGCAAGTTCCAGTCCTACATATATAGAGATGGATGAAGGAGACCTACCAACAAGATTAAAGTTATTAGAGGATTCAGTTCCTTTTGATAGTCCTTTGTTGATTGCTTATGCTACCCGGTAGGTTGTCCTATATGTTGTTTTTATGAACTAAAGCACATGCATTTTATTGTGTCTTAGTCTGTGAAATTTTTTTTTTTTTTGAGTTGGAGTCTCACTCTCGCCCAGGCTGGAGTGCAGTGGCACGCTCCAGGCCACCCCAGCCTTGACCTGCTGGGCTCCAGTGATCCTTCCGCCTCAGCTTTCTACGTAGCCGGAACTACAGGCGTGCACTACCATGCCCGGCTAGTTTTTGATTTATTGTAGGTCTCACCAAGTTGCCCGGGTGGGTCTCGAACCCGCAGGCTCAGACAATCCACTCGTCTCACCCTCCCAAAGCACTGGGATTACAGGCTGAACCACTGAGCCTAGCCAGTCTGTGAAATTTTATTCACTTGCATATCTGGCAGCTTCTATTAGTATATTTATGTTCATTTCTGATAAGTACTTAATGTAACTTACATCATCTCGCTGAATTTGGAGACTAAAGTGTTTTGTGTTTAAATGCAGGTTGTATGAGAAGTTTGGGGAATCTGCCCTTCGATCCTTAATCAAGTTTTATCCATCCATTTTGCCATCGGATGTCATGCAACTTTGTCATCATCATCCTGCTGAATTTTTGGCCTATTTAGACAGTTTGGTGAAATCAAGGCCTGAAGATCAACGGTAAGAAGGAGAGAGTATTTGCAGACTCTTCTTTCTTTTGACAGGGCATTGTTTCTGTTTCTCTTTTTTTTTTTTTGAGTCAGAGGATCTCACTCTGCCTCCCAAGCTTGAGTGTAGTTGCACACTCATGGCTCACCACAGTCTTGACCTCCAGGCCTCAGACAGTTCTTCTACCTCAGTCTCCAGAGTAGCTGGGACTACTATAGGTATGCACTACCATGCCTGGCTACCATGCCAGGTGTGCACTACCGTGCCTGGCTAATTTTTTCATTTATTTATGGAGGTGAGGTCTCATTGTGTTGTCCAGGCTGGTCTTGAACTCCTGGGCTCAAGCAATCCTTTTGCCTTGGCCTCCCTAAGTGCTGGGATTACAGGTGTGAGCTACCATGCTCAGCTGTTTCTCTTTTATAAGCAGTTATAATATTTTTGCTGTTAATTACCAGGGGGCTTGAGCTCCTATTGTGGAAGATGAAGATTTTGGCAATCTTGTACCATTCTGCCACACTTCACAGCACACATCAGAGAAGTGCACATACCACACATATTGTCCCTCCCTCCCACTCAGGGAGTCTTCGATCATCAGTGTAAATTAAACCCTTAGTTCAGGACCTGTGCTAAGAAGTTACACCTCTTGTTGTCTCTGCCAGTAGGTGATGTTGATTCTTTGTATGTGGATTAACTGTCACCTTTTTATTGACATGGATCTTAGGGCTAGCTCTTCTCTTTTTAGGCCATTATCTCATTTTCTCTCTCCTTTGACTGTAAGCACCTGTGACCTGTGCCCCTTGGTTATTAGATTAACAACTTCTTCCTTTCTTTTCTCCATTGGTCAGTTCACATTTGCCATACTGTTTTTTTTTTTTTTTGCTTGTTTGTTTTTCTTTTGAGATAGGGGTCTCAATATGCTGCTCAGGCTGCAGTGCAGTAGCTATCCACAGGTGTAATCATAGCATACTATAGCCGCAAACTCCTGACTTCGAGTGATCTTTCTACCTCAGCCATACTATTTCTCTCTCTCTCTCTCTCTCTCTCTCTCTCTCTCTCTCTTTTTGCCTTTTGGTATTTTCTTTATTATCGTGGGTCTCAATTGTACATTTAGAACATAATCAACATTTTTACCAGCATTTCTAGACATTTTGTAGCAGAAGAGTTTTCAAGTTATTTAATTTTCTATATTGATCTCTTAATTAACTTTTTTTCACACCCCATTTCAACTTCCTTTCTCAATATGAAGAATGTTGATTTTTTTCCTCATCTTTCTCTTAGGTCAGCTTTCCTTGAGTCTCTTCTACAACCAGAGTCTTTAAGATTGGATTGGCTGCTTTTGGCAGTGTCGTATGCTGCTCCACCAAGCACAAGCACTGTGGATGATGAAGGTTACCCCAGGTGTGGAAGGACTCCTCTTTCTAAGGATTAATCTTCAGTGTGTCTTTGGAATGGAACTGGTTTATTCACATCCAGCATATTGGGCTCTCTTTAGAAAAAAAACTATGGAAGAGAGACTGACCCAAGTCATGGTAGTGATGAAATTCTTTGTATTGAGAAGATAAAAAAGCTCCCACAGTGGGAGGGGACTCGAAGGGGTTGCCCAGTAATGAGATTCTTAAGTGTACTTTTTAGTGAGTCTGAATATTTTTCGAGTCATAGACACTTTAAAAATTTTTTTTTTTTTTTGAGTTGGAGTCTCACTCTGTCACCCAGACTGGAATGCAGTGGCTGCTCCTGGCCACCGCATCCTCGACCTGCTGGCTCCAGTGATCCTTCCACCTCAGCCGTCCAAATAGCTGGAACTACAGGCACGCGCTACCACGTCCAGCTCATTTTGCTTTATTGTAGAGATGAGATCTCACCAAGTTGCCTGGGCGGGTCTCGAACCCGTGGGCTCAGGCAATCCACTCACCTCAACCTCCCAAAGGCATGGGATTACAGGCTGAGCCACCGAGCCCGGCTAGGAATATTTTTTCTTAATCACAAAGACTTCAAAACTATTTTTTAAAATATTGATTTACTTATTTTTCTTTTCTTTTTCACCTTGCAAGGCTGATGATTTCTTTCAGGAAAATGCACATGCAAAATTTTGCACATCAGAGAATTAAATTGACCCTCTGCAGCTTTTTCATGGACCCACATTAAGAACCCTTGATGATTAAACCTGTGTTTGAGGAGGAAAATTGTGTGTGAGAGTTGTGTGTGTGCTTCCTAAAAATTTGTCAAGGGATTTCTAGACAAAACCTGATTCAGAACTTTTTCTAAAAATAAAATTCACAAAAAAGTGCACACTGGCCGGGCTCGGTTGCTCAGCCTATAATCCCAGCACTTTGGGAGGCCAAAGCGAGTGGATTGTCCGAGCCTGCGGGTTCGAGACCAGCCCGGGCAACTTAGTGAGACCTTGTCTCTACAATAAATTAAAAAAAAAAATTAGCTGGGCATGGTAGTGCATGCCTGTAGTTCCAGCTACTTGGAAGTGAGGTGGAAGGATCGCTGGAGCCCAGTGGGTCGACGCTGGGGTGGCTGTGAGTGTGCTACTGCGTTCCAGCCTAGGCAAAAGAGTGAGACTCCAACTCAAAAAAAAAGTACTCATTGATGTTTGTAATGTATCAGAACTATTGCTTGTGTTTTCCTCCAGGAGAAGCTATTTTTTTTTTTTGAGTTGAAGTCTCACTGTGTCACCCAGGCAGAAGGGCAGTGACACACTCATGGCTATCACAGCATCGATCTGCTGGGCTCAGGCAATTCATCTGCGTTAGCCTTCCAAGTAGCTGGAACCACAGGTGCACACCACCACGCCCAGCTAACTTTTTTGATTTATTGCAGAGATGAGGTCTTGCCAAGTTGCTTAGGCTGGTCTTGAACTCCTGGACTCAGGACTCTGCCTCCCAAAGTGCTGGGATGACAGGCATGAGCCACTATGCCTGGTTAAAGTTTCTAATTTTTTAAAATGAATAAGTTATAAGAAAAGTAGCTATTTTTAATTTCTCAAAAGCCAAATAGAAATGTTTAAAGAGTATAATAATAATGGGATGTTATTAAGCTTTATTCTTACCTATTAGATGACTAATAAGAGTTTCTAGAGTTTATCTTCTATCTAATTTTTATCTTCTATCTAATTTACTGATTTTTTTCATTTCACAGGCCTCATTCACACTTGCTTTCCTGGGGTTACAGTCAGCTGATTCTTTATCTAATTAAACTTCCTGCAGATTTTACAACCAAAGAGAAAATGACTGACATCTGTAGGTCTTGTGGGTAAGTGAGAATTTTCTTAGAAACTGAAGTTAAGATTAGTTACATCTTTGCAGTTATTAACCTTATAGTTAAAGGTCTGAACTAATACTCATTATCATTTGGAAATTTTCTTTGTTATGTATAAATAAACATTTTTTTTTAAGTGAGAGTAAACTAAACATCCTTTTCCTTTTAAACTTGGTGCATGCTTTTTTGTTTATAGCCCTTGCTAATTCCTCCTCGCCACCTCTGCTTAGTTACTAGCTCCAGTTCTCAGGCATGTATATAGTTGTTTTTTTTTTTCTTTTTTTGAGTTGGAGTCTCACTCTCACCCAGGCTGGATTGCAATGGCATGCTCACAGCCACCGCAGCGTCAACCTGCTGGCTCAGGCGATCCTTCCGCCTCAGCCTTCCAAGTAGCGTGAATTATAGGCATACACCACCATACCTAGCTAGTTTTTTTATTTATTGTAGAGATGAGGTCTCACCAAGTTGCTCAAACCCGTGAGCTCAAGCAGTCCTCTCACCTCAGCCTCCCAAAGTACTGGGATTATAGGTGTGAGCCACCGTGCCTGGCCCAATAGTATTTTTAATTAAGCACCATATTGTATGACATCAGTTGCAATAGATAGAGGATTTCCAAGAAGGGAGAGCTCAGAATGGGCTTAATAGAATCTCTGGTGAAGGAGGCAGGGTAAAAGTAAGATAAAAGTAAGGTAAAAGTAAGACTTTGGAGGTAAAACCTGAAACCTAGGTAGGATTTGTATTTGTAAAAGAATCAGGAGGGAGTAGGTCAGGTGAGAGAAACAGTAAGAGCAAGAACATGAAAAACTGTTATTGCTTATTATCTGTAGCACACGCTAGTCAGTCATTATTGCCTGGTCATGTTGTCTTATGGCTCCACCTGGATTATATCTTGTGGCAATAGTGACCTGTGTCTTTCTTTTCTCTAATACTATTTAGTTCATGTAGTGGTAGGTTGCTGGATATCTATTCATTCACTGATAGTAAAGGATGAGACTGCCCAGGTGGTGGGCGACCAATATCATGTAGGACCTTGAAAGCTAGTCAGAGGGACTTAGTAATCACTAGAGACCCTTTTAGACTTTTTGGTACAAAAAATATGTAATGGAAATGGAGCTTTCTGGAGATCATTTCTGGTATCATACACAAGAAGGATTGGAAACAGGAAGGCCTGCTAGGAAGTGACTGCAGTCATTCAGATGTGAGTGGATTGGTGATTAGTAGGAGTGTATCTATGGGGCATTTCAAAGGAAAATGCCAGTGTGACTGGTTTTTTGGGGGGGGGGTTGGAGTCTCACTCTGTCATTGAGACTGGAGTGCAGTGGCATGAACACAGCTCACTGCAGCTTCCAGCTCTTGGGCTCAGGCGATCCTTCCACCTCAGCCTCCTGAGTAGCTGGGACTACTACAGATACATGCCACCACGCCCGGCTAATTTTATTTAATTTTATTTTTGTGGTCTTGAGGTCTCACTATGTTGCCTAGGGTGATCTCGAATTCCTGAGCTCAATCAATCCTCTTGCCTCAGCCTCCCAAACTGCTAGGATTACAAGTATGAGCCACTGCACCTGGCCATAACAGTGAGACTTACAGCAAGTAAAGGAGGAGAAATAGTCAAGGAGAACTTCCAAGGTTTGCATATTTGGAGAGGAAATATGCTTTGTATTGAATCTTAAAAATATATAAAGCTTCTTGACCTCAAATGTCAGTATTTATTGCTAGCTTTGTTTTTTTTCTTAAACACTCTAGGTCAGGGTCATCTAACAGAACTTTTGTGATAGTGGAAATAATCTCTTGATCTGTCCAGTATAGTGACCACTAGCTACATGTGGCTACTGAGTACTTGAAATGTGAATAGGCCAACTAAAAAACTGACTTTTGCATTTTACTGACTTTTAATTAATTTAAATTTAAAAAGCTACATGTGACTAGTAGCGACTGTATTGGAAGTACAGCTCCAGATAAATGCCCTGCCTTTTATTCCTTTCTTCAACTTTGGTATTTTTAAAGTTTTTGGCCTGGATATCTTACCCTCTGTTTGGAACTGGAGAGAAGAAAAGAGGCCTTCACCAACGTTGTGCATCTGAACGATATGAGCCTGATGGAAGGGGACAATGGTAAGTCAATCCTAGTTGTTTCCTCTTAGTTTTAGTTTTTTTAGAAGGACACTTTAGACTTTTCAATAAAGAAATTTGGTGAACATTTCTGTATTTTTATTTTTGAGTCTGTGTCTCACTCTGTCGCTAGTCTGGAGTGGAATGGCACGATCACAACTCACCACAGCCTTGATCTCCTGGGCTCAGTTGATCCTTTCTGCCTCAGCCTCCTGAGTAGTCAAATTTCAGGCCGGGTGCAGTGGTTCACATTTGTAATCCCAGCACTTTGGGAGGCTGAGACGGGAAGATTGCTTGAGCCCAGGAGTTTGAGACCAGCCTGGACATCATAGTAAGACTTTGTCTCTTCGAAAAATAAAGAAATTTGATCAGGCGTTGTGGTGCACATCTGCAGTCCTAGCTACTTGAGAGACCGAGGCGGGAGGATATTCTTATCCCAAGAGGCCAAGATTGCAGCGAGCCTTGATTGTGCCACTGCATTCTAACCTGTGTGACAGAGTAAGACCCTGAATCTAAATAAATAAATAAATAAATAAAATACAGTGAAAGTCAGAAGACTTGGACTTTGACACAGATACCTGAAGTGTTAGTCCATCCTGCACTCAAAGAAGTGGTCTTGGTCTGTTACAGTGCTGTTATTGTCATCTCGGTGCAGAGGCGCCCCAGCAGAAGGACTCAGGATCCTTCACTGCAGCTTTTTTTTTTTTGTATTGGAGTCTCACTCTGTCATCCAGACTGGAGTGCAGTAGCACACTTCCGGTCACCACATCCTCAACCTGCTGGGCTCCGGCGATCCTTCCGCCTCAGCCTTCCAAGTAGCTGGAACTACCAGGGCGCGCTACCATGCCCAGCTAATTTTTTGATTTATTGTAGAGATGAGGTCTCGCCAAGTTGCCCAGGTGGGTCACGAACCCGCAGGCTCAGGCAATCCACTCACCTCAGCCTCCCAAAGCGCAGGATTACAGGCTGAGCCACCGAGCCCAGCTCCACTGCAATCTTTTTAAAGTGTGGGAGAGGGAAAGTCAGAACAGAACAAAGAAGCAAATTGACTGGTGAGGTTTAGCTTTAGATGTCACAGCTATGATTATAATTACTAGGATAATCTTTGTTTCAGAAATGAAACCAGAGTGTCAGGGAGTTTTGTAGGACTAGAACTATAGGTATACACATGCTTCTGCAAAATAACAAGAAAATATATAAATGTTTATGTTTTTAAGGTTATAATGTGATATGTTTGTTATGAAAAAAATTGAAAATTCAGGAAGCATAAAGAAATAAATATCATCTTAAATTCTCCCCACCCAGATAAAAGAACTCCCAATCGTTTGTTAATACAATAATAGTAGTAATGACAAGAGTTATTCTTACCCTTGGTGCATTAAATACACTTCTCACTCTTCATGCCACACGGCAGTCACCATCCAAGGTTTTTCTGTCACATGTGCATCTCCTATCTGTCTACTTTCCCTTTTTTCTACACTGTCACTGATTCTAGCTACTTGCCTACTGTGGTAACCTCATAACTGGTCATCTGGCTTCTACTTTTGCCCATAGCAACCTAAATGATGTTTCTTTTTTTTGAATAGGAAGCTCACTCTGTCACCCAGCTGAAGTGTAGTGGCATGCTCATGGCCACCACAGTCTCAACCTGCTGGGCTCAGGCGATCCTTCTGCCTAGGCCTCTCAAGGAGCTAGAATTACAGGCATGCACCACCATACCTGCCTAATTTTTTGATTTATTGTAGAGACGAGGTCTGCCAAGTTGCTCAGACTGGTCTCGAACCCCTGGGCTCAGGTGATCCTCTCAACTCTGTCTGCCTCCCAAAGTTTTGGGATTACAGGCATGAGACACTGTGCCCAGCCCAGAATGATTATTTTAAACAAAAATGGATTATGTGACTTCTCTCTTGGAAACCCCTTGTATTGAACTCAGAATAAAATGCAGATTTTTTTATTTTGATTTTTTTTATTATGTGGGTCTCACCATCAGTTTTTTTTGGTTTGTTTTTTGAGTTGGAGTCTCACTCCATCACCCAGGCTGCACACTCATAGCCACCCTAGTGTTGATCTGCTGGGCTAAGGAGATCCTTCCACCTCAGCCCCCCAAGTAGCCAGAACTACAGGCACGTGCTACCATGCCTGACTAATTTTTTGATTTATTGTAGAGACGAGGTCTTGCTAAGTTGACATGGCTGGTCTCGAACCCCTGGGCTCAGGCAGTCCTCTCTCCTTGTCCTCCCAAAGTACTGGGATTACAGGCTTAAGCCACCACACCTGTCCTGGTTTTTGTTTGTTTGTTTGTTAATTAAATAATCCAGATTCTTAAGATGGTTCACGAGGCCTGGTCCTCTCATCTCATCCTTACTACTCACTACTACCTTTGTGCACTCCAGGCTTTTAAAAAATTCCTTAGACTCATTAAGTTTTTTGCTGTGTCATGTTACCACCCAGGGTCAGAAATGCAATCCCGTTCACCCACCATTCTTCATGCCCCCTACTCCAAGTTTGCACATTATCTGAGCCACATGCATGTGCCCTCTAAGCTGGTCTCATCCTTTAGCTTTCTGCCTAAATGTCACTTCTCGTAGACCTCTTCCCAAATCCTCCAAACAAAATCAGCCATTCTCTCTAATGGTCCCTTGTTCTTTTTCTTCATAGTAAATTATGACTCTCTTACTAGACTGTAAACTCCATGAGAGTACAGGGATTGTATCTGTTTTTCCATTATGTATCCAGTGCCTAACATAGAATGTGCTATGGGTAATTATATACTGAGTGATTGAAAGAGTTCTAAAGCTAATTTCATGGCTTCTCTGTATCATGTAACACATTTTCAGGAAACAACCTTGTGTTAGGGTAATGAGATTGTTCTTGAATATTTTGTTTTGGTATTAAACATTTTCACTAATGGTTTGGACCACCTCCTACATGTAGGCAGTGTGCTAAGAATGGTCAGAACTAACAACATTTCTCTGCATGTGTGTAGGTTGGATCCCAGAGACTGTGGAGGAATGGAAGCTTCTCCTTCATCTCATACAGAACAAGAGCACAAAGCCAGCCCCTCAGGAGTCACTAAATGGGAACCTCAGTGATGGACCTTCCCCCATCAATGTGGAAAATGTGGCACTCCTGTTAGCTAAAGCCATGGGCCCGGATCGGGCCTGGTCACTGCTTCAGGAATGTGGCCTGGCCCTTGAGTTGTCAGAGAAGTTTACCAGAACTTGTAATATCCTGAGGATTGCTGAGAAAAGGCAGAGGTAATACCAGTTTGTCATGCCCGCTCCTTGTGCTAGAGAAGTTTGACCACCACAGACTTTCGGAGGTAGATGAAGAGGTTATGCAGACCTGACCCCTCACTGATATGATGGGAGTTAGCCTGGAGGCTAATGTGATGTTTCGTTCACAATCGTGACCAAGACACTACTTGGACTAATGTGAATACCTAAATCTGATGTGTCCTTGATTCTTTTCTTTTTCGAGTCGGCATCTCACTCTCTCATCCAGGCTGGAGTACAGCGCATGATCACTGCTCACTGCAGCCTGGACTTCCTGGGCTCAGGCGATCCTTCTGCCTCAGCTTCTCAAGTAGCTGGGTCTACAGGTGTGCACCACCATGCCCAGCTAATTTTTTGATTTATTGTAGAGACAAGGTCTCACCAAGTTACCCAGGCTGGTCTTGAACCCCTAGGCTCAGGCAATCCTCTCACCTCCACCTCCCAAAGTGCTGGGATTACAGGCATGAGGCACCACGCCCAGCCAAGACCCTGCTTTCAGTTCTTGTGGGTATATACCCAAAAGTTGAATAGATGAGTCATGTGGTAATTGTATTTTTAATTTTGGGGGGAGCCAACATACTGTTTACATAGAGACTATGTAATGCACAAAGGTTTTAATTTCTCCGTGTCCTAGCCATCACCTTTATCTTTTTTTTTTTTTTAGTAGTAACTGTCCTCATGGATGTGAGGTAATGTCTCATTGTGGTTTTGATTTGCATTTTCCTAATGATTAGTGATGTTGACTATCTTTTCATATATATCATCTTGGAAAAAATTCTATTCAATTCCTTTGCCCTTTTTTTTTTTGAGTTGGAGTCTCACTTTATCATCCAGGCGGGAGGGCAGTGGCACACTCCTGGCCACTGCAGTCTCGACCTGCTGGGCTCAGGCGATCCTTCCGCCTTGGCCTTCCAGGTAGCTGGAACTATAGGCACACGTCACCATGCCCAGCTAATTTTTTGATTTATCGTAGAGATGAGGTCTCGCCAAGTTGCCCAGGTTGGTCTTGAACTCACAGATTCAGACAATCCTCTTACCTCGGCCTCCCAAAGTGCTGGTATTATAGGCATGAGCCACCACGCCCGGCCTCCTTTGCCCATTTTTAAATGAGGTGTTTTTTTTGTTTGTTTTTGTTGTGGTTGTTATAGGAGTTCTCACATATTCTAGATATTAACCCCATATCAGGTATATGATTTGCAAATGTTTTTTCCCATTCCATAGGTTGCCTTTTCACTTTGTTAATTGTATCTTTTGATGCACAGAATTAGTTAACTTTTTCAGTCATCTAAGTCTCTAGGTTTTTAAGTTGTCTGTGAAACAAACCGTAACTAAATTTGCTTGTTTCTTTTCTTTGGGATTTCAGAGCCTTGATACAAAGCATGCTTGAAAAATGTGATCGGTTTCTCTGGTCTCAGCAGGCCTAGTGGATGAAGACTCATCAGGATGACATGACATTTTGAGAAAAACTGAATCATGCTCCTGAACCCTCTGAATGCATTTGTTACTGAAGAAAAGGCACCACCTCAAAACCTATTGGGGCTGCTTTTGTCAGTGTCTGTAACCGTGGCATATAATATGCCCTCAGCATTTCTTAGCCGAAGTTGGATTTTGGAAAGAGTCAGTCCTTGTTTGCTAGAGTCAGAATGTGAATGTTCACAACTGTGTAGTCTTACTTTTTTTTTTTTTTTTGAGTTGGA